GAAACACACTCCACTCATCTGGCTCGTCCCCGTGTGGTTGGGCACCAACTGCTTGTAGTCACCTGTGCCGGATACGCTAAGCCGAAAGTCAATAATACGACGTTGCCGGAAAGAAACAGTATTTAACTTAGTGCCGCCGCTCCCGCAGCACCACACCAAATAGTTAACGTTCCAACGTTCAGCATTATGGAGCTATCCAGCCCCTACCCTGCACAGTCTTGATGCAATTACTCCACCACTGCGTCCGGATCGTCTTTGTATACCTTAGCAGCACGGGACCTGTGCAAAGAAGACATCGTCCACGCTGGTATCCCAGTATCTCACGGAACGCACCAGCGTCATCCCATCTAAAATGGAGCCGCTTTCCAGCCCTGGAGCGGCTCGCGCCTACCAGCTTGAAATGCTCGACCACAGTCTCAAGCAAAATGTGATCGTGGCCGTAAGTATGGTCGAAGTTGCACAGCATCTCATTCATGCGTTAATCATGGATACAGATGGATACTGGTAGTGGCAAGACACGAGTGTGCGTTGCACTTCCTTTCATGTCTTGGACGGTGCCTAATGATTGCTAGATCAATTCTTCGGATGAGAGCACAACTAGAAATATCGAGCGAAAAGGTACTTTAAAACATCCTTAAAATACTTGCTCCGAGCTAATACGCGCCAGTTGATCTGGTTTCTAGCCCCGACAGTTCTACTCTGTGCCCAGCAGTATAATGCGATTACGACGGAAATCCCGTCTATTGCGGCGAAGCTCGTCACAGGGCACGACAGCGTCGATACGTGGGACGCATCAACCTGGAAAACACTACTGGATGGCACACAAGCAATCATTTCCACTTATCAGGTGCTCCTGGATGCGTTAGACCACGCATTCGTGGACTTCAGCAATCTTTCCCTCCTAATATTTGATGAAGGTATCTACTTCAATTCATCTGCAGAATTAACCACGGCTCTGACTCTATCCAGCTCACAATTGCGTCCGTAATAGTCCAGGAGGCAAAATAATGTCTCAATTCTACCACTTTGAAAAGCATCGAGGTGGCCGCACCCCTGCAATTTTAGGACTGACGGCGACGCCAAGTATTAGGGCGGATGCAAAGGGTCTTGAAGCCCTTGAGATGCTTTTAGACGCCAGATGCATGTCTCCAACAATACATCGACAGCAGCTGCTGCAGTGCACCAACTACCCGCGGTTGCTCGCGCTTTACTACCGCCCACGTTTGGATCCCGATGGAACGCCGTCTCTGGATTCTTTGAAACAAGTTTGCTCGCGCATGGACATCATGCAAGATCCATACATCGTTTCGCTTCGAGCTCAAAATACGGATAGCAGTCATCGAACATTACTCTCATTGGTAAAGAGCCAAAAAACGTGGTCTAGTCTCCAGCTCAAGGGTTTTATGCGGCGGGCATGCCAGATACTGCATCAGCTGGGACATTGGGCACTGGACCTATACATCTTTCAGGTGAAAGCAAAGTTCCTCCAGTCACTTTCGGCTACAGAAGAGCCAGGGTACACTTGCATAGCCGAGGAGAAAGTATACGTGGCGGATATACTGCGCAACATCGCCGTCGCAAAACCTGCACAGTCGCCAATGGAACTGGATAGCATGTCCGACAAGGTTCAATTGCTCCTCAGGGAGCTGCTAACTTTCCGGGATAATCCTATTGGCATCATTTTTGTGAAAGAGCGTGTTACTGCATACATGCTCACGAAGCTTCTTCAGTCCTTAACTAAGCTGCGAGACCGGTTCCGGTTTGGGTGCTTGGTTGGGACATCAAATCACCAACGGCGAAATCGATGCTTATATGAATTTCCTGACTCGGCCAATTTAGACATTCTGAGTGACTTTCGCTCTCAAAAAACCAACATTCTTGTGGCAACTTCGGTGTTGGAGGAGGGCATCGACGTACCGGCGTGTAACCTCGTCATCTGCTTCGACGGCCCACCGACCTCAAAGTCCTTTATCCAGCGGCGAGGGCGGGCGAGGATGCAGAAGTCTGATTTGATCTTGCTTCTCGAAAGTGATCAATCAGAAGTCAAGCAATGGATCTCTCTCGAAAGCGAAATCGCGAAGCTCTGTCAGGACACGCAGCGCAAACAAAAAGAGCGAGAGGCGCTGGAGGGCGCAGTGGAGGAACTGAGTCTTATCTTCAGGGTGCCCGTAACCGGGGCGCGACTGGATCAAGATAATGCCACCGCACATATACACCACTTTTGCCAGAAAGTAGCACCGGGCGAGTTTATTGATCATCGGCCAGAATTCATCACCAAGGTCATCGACCACGGGGTGAGGTGCCGTGTGAAAGCTGAGGTCCGACTACCTACATGCCTGCCCACTAGCATGCGGAAATTCAACTCAGCAAACGCTTGGGTGTCAGAAAAGAACGCCATGAAAGACGCTGCGTTTCAAGCGGTTGTCGGACTTTATCATGCTGGATTGGTCAATGGGCATTTACTACCATATGAAGCTGCTGAGGAAGCTGGAGTGGAAACCCGTTCCGCAATTGTATCCGTCGATCCAGTCTATCAGCCATGGCACGACATCGCCGTTGCTTGGAATGAAAGCCAAACGCACTGGAGCTATACAATCCGGTTGCAAGGTTCCAACCCAAACCTTTTCGCCGAGTATAGCCTTACGCTTCCAGTTTTCTTGCAGACCCTGCCACCAGTTTTGGTGTATTGGGATCATGAGACAGCCTATCAAGTCTGCTTTTCAACTCCGGAAGCCATTTCGACGGCCGAGTCACAAACCAGACCCGATAATACTTCAGTCTTACTTGCCCTGAATTTTGCTCACCGGTGGGATCTGAAGAACGCTTCACACGTCATCAAGATATCTTCAGATGGGTCGCTCGCTTTGGAAGGCATCAACGCCCGCCCAATCGACCCTGCCTGTATACGTGCCGCAGGTCAAGAGTATTTAATACGAGATTCCTACCTGTCTCCTGGCACGTATATTGAGACCTTGCGCTCCAAGCCACCCATTGGCATGGTACGGCATCCTTTCAAAAACTATCAGGAGGCATCTGAAGAGCAGTATGTACATCTGTCCAAGTGGACCCGGCGTACCGACTTTCTGCACCGGCCACATGTAAACATGAACGGAAAGGGTCAGATTCCCAGCACGAAACTCTACTCATGCGCTGTTCCCATGTCATGCGCCAGAATGGACTCTATCGACGTAAAGCACGCCCGTTTTGGAATGCTCCTTCCGTCAATTATTCACCATGTTGAAACGCTGCTCATTGCAAGAAAGCTCTCGCAAACGCTTTTAAAACCACTAGAGATTTCCAATCTTACCTTACTACTCGAGGCTATTACTTCTGGCGGTGCAAACAAGTCGGTGAGCTACGAAAGACTCGAATTTATCGGAGACTCCATCTTGAAGTTTTGCGCCTCTGTACAAGCCGCCGCGACTCGTACGCTATCCACTCACCTTAATCCTTGTTCTTTTTGTAAGGGGCTAACAAGTTATTGTCAGATCTGCATTGGCCCGAGGGCTATCTTTCGTCGTTCAAGGACCGACTGGTAGCTAATTCAAGATTATCTCGGGCTGCGATTGAGACCGGACTGCCACGTTTTATTTTGACTGCTCCCTTTACTGGTCAAAAATGGCGCCCCTTTTACAATGTCGACTTTCTTTCTGGCGAGGAATCGAATCGACCAGCACGCCAAGTGTCAACAAAGGTACTCGCTGACGTCGTGGAGGCTCTTATCGCCGTCTGTTACATGGCCAGCGGCATGCCCAAGGTCATTCATTTACTGACACTCTTCATTGGAGACTGCTCATGGATGGACCCAAGTGATGCGCGAAGCAGTCTCTTCCAGCAAGCCTCTTCGTGTATGACCTCATGCGCATATCTGGAGCCCCTTGAAGACTTGATCAGATATACCTTCGAGAAGAAGTCGCTGCTGCTAGAAGCAGTCACACACGGTTCCTACCTCGTTGACACCAAGCAGCGCAGCCAAGGACGTCTCGAGTTCCTAGGCGACGCTGTATTAGATACTATTGTCGTGACAAAGCTTTCCGATCACGTCCCTCCACTCCCTCATCATACTATGCACATGATCAAGACAGCAATGGTCAACAAAGACTTCCTTGCATTTCTCAGTCTTGAAGAGCACGAATGCTCGCTGCCAGAAGAGTCCCAGGGACATAGTATAAAACACCGACGTCTGGCCTTGTGGCAGTTTCTAAGGCATGCTTCAAATGGCCTGAGCGGCGCCCAGTCGGAGACACGCAAGCGGCATCAAGACGAACGAGACGATATTCTTAGAGCCATCCACCACGGTGGAGTCTATCCATGGGCTCTACTTGTTCGTTTGCAGGCCAACAAATTCTTTTCAGACCTGTTCGAATCTATCTTGGGAGCTATTTGGGTAGACTCGGGTTCCATGGCACAGTGCCAAGCATTCTTAGCTCATTTAGGCCTGATGCCATACCTAATGCGCATTGTCCACGATGGTGTCCATGTGCAACATCCGAAAGAAGAGCTTACCAAACTGGCATGCACGGAGAAAGTCATTTACAACGTGGAGCCAGTGTTAACACAAGGCAGCGAGACCCATCTACGATGCACGATCTTTTTTGGTGACCGGCAGGTAGTAGAGGTGGAAGGCGGATTCTCTATGGAAGAAGTCAAAACCAAGGCAGCCACAGCAGCTGTGGCACTTTTAAAATGATAGACGCGATGCATGCGGCCGCTCAGGTGTAGCTTCAAAGATCTTTTGCTAGTCAGGTAATGCACACTGGTATATTAGTCGAGCTCTGCGAAAAAATGATCCAGTACCCTGCACCAAGTTTTTGCTTGGCTGAACATAGCACTGCA